ATATATTCTGTGCTGTTTACTGTGTTTAGATTTGTTTTCACTTCCTCTCCATAGCATGATGTCTGGCTTGCTTCTGCAGATGGCAGTAAAATTTGACTACTGGTCCCATGTGGAATCAAACACTCCTTACTGAGAAAATAATTTGGTGAGTGAAGTCAACAAGAATATATAACACAGGTTTATTGTTTCAGTCATACTGCTAACTTACTGTAGCCTAGAGTATTAACAAATAATATAACCCACAACATCACCTGAGTTAAATACGATTATCTGATGCATATCATTCTCCCAATAAAGACTGCTGTTATTATTATGTTTAGCTTTGCATTATGGCATCCTATTTAATTAGGGTTTACCATCAAGTTAGCTATATCTGAACATCATTAAAATAAAATTAAAAAAATAGAAAAATGTTTTCATGGCATATTTTCATACTGAAGGACTGAAACACTTGTAAGGAAGAGCTGTGTTAATGCTACAATATTTTTTCCAGGGACTTGCTCAAGGTCTGCACCTGTGGTCCAGGCATTATAAGGAACAGAGAGCTGTGTTTGCTACTTCACAATAAGCTATTTTCATATTCACAGTGTATGTGTTTCCAAAGGAAAAAAACCCACCCAATAGCAACAAGAGCCTGCCAAAAATTTCCCTGAGCTCTATTCTGTTTTTTAAACTATAGAACATTCTTTCACAGTTTGACAGTTAAAATGCTGCAGTTAATGTAATAAACAGAGAATTTTTTAAGTCGCCTGTCAAAACAAGTGACACTTTTTGCTAGAGATTTTCAGATTTGGAACAATAGAAAGTACCTTTCAAAGCAACAGCTTCATTATACAATCAAATTCTCAAAGTAATCTTCTCATCAAAGAATATTGTCTTATTTCTTTCATGGTAATTATCCAAGTTCTGCAACCTCTCCGGAAATGGCGACTATTGTAAAACGCAGCTGTGTTGGTTTGAAAATTGTGGGTCCTGCTCAGGTCAGCTAGAGCCAGTGTCTCTGAAGCCCTGACAATTCCTTGAACTTCTGGCAGCTGTAACAGTGTCTAGTCAAAACTAGCAGGACTCGGAGGATTCATGGAGATTTTAACAGCTTCGATACGGCATGGCTCAGTATGGATTTTCAGCTAACAAAATCATAACGCATGTAAACCGAATACTAGAACAGTAGTTAATATGGTGCCTGACAGTACAAGCTTGCTTCCATGAGCAAAGGGCAGGAAAAATAAGCACTTTCAGGGACAGGGATAGGGAAAAATGTCAGATGGCTGTCAGTCTTGAGAAAATCTCTCTACCTTCGTTTTCCCTTCGCTATATTGCATGAAAAATCTCCTACGAATATTCTTTCAGGTGATGCTGTGCGCGTGACGACACAGAGAGGAGAGCAGTACCTTCCACAGCATCATTCCAGCCCTTCAGCTCTCTGCAAGGAGTGTGGATGATAATCAACACCGATCCTGCCAGGGTAAACTTGCACTGGCCTCTCTGAAAGTCACGATGCAAAGCAAATGTAATAGGCAGCCAAAAGCTGTGATAAGCCAAGGCGGCAATTCTCCAAGAGCCAACCTGCTCAGTCAGATGAGGCAACGGAGGGCATGCAGAGGGGCAAGGTCACAGCACTGCTCATGGTCTCTGGATGCCTACCCGTGGGCGCAAGAAGCCCTCTTGCACTCCTTAGTGGAGAATGCGCAGGGCATCTCTGAGAAGAAAACACCTCACTTCCCTGATAGCCTAAGGGTTCATGGAAGCACCATGCTCCTAGTCTGGTTTGTCTAGGTATTTTGTGTGACAGGGAGTGAGTGCTCCTTTGGTTGTGTTTGACTAGACCTCTAATAAAAGAGGTGAGAGAATTTGTACTTTTAAAATTATGGCTGTGTGGCAGTGTTACCTATTTTTATAAGCACAAGCATTGATGGCACTTTTTGAAATCCAGTGCTTTGAGCCAGGTTTTGGAAAAGTGCCTTCTAAACGAGCTGACAATCTAGACAGACAGCACAGGGACAGAATGGAGCAAGGACTAGATATAGATGGAAACAGAACAGAAACAAGCACTTGTGTTACATGGATTCAAAACATTTTTAGTATAAAAAATGTTCTCACACTATAGGCAGGGCCCATTACTATTCCATAGCGAACACAAACTTTGCCAATGGCCTCAAAAGAGCAGGATCCAGCTTTGTGTACTTATCTTTCTTCAACTGACACTTACAAGTAAACCTTCAGTAAAGATGACCTTAAGTAACTCATTATTCTCAGTGCGCTAATTAGCAGTACAATATGTTTTCTGTGGCCTCTAAACACTACTTGCATAATGAAGAGTTTGCCTTCAATGGAGGGTCAAACAGAGTTTATACTGGTTGCTTTGAAGTCACTATAAAGCTGCCTGTAAAAAAGGCCTTGAGCACAGTTTTCAGTGCGACCAGAATGTGTGGCTGAAAGGATGGTTAGCCAGCTGAGGAGTGAGAGGACATGATGTGATAGCTATGAAAAGGTGAGACAGACATCCTCTGTGGTACAGAAAGCTTTATCTTTTTTATAATGTATTGATTTTATAACAATAAGAACGGATAAATAAACCCACAGAGCCACATTTCACATCTTGCTAGCAAACTACAACAGGCCAAGTCCAGCCTATCTTAATTCAGTGAAGTTCTAGAAAGGATGAATCTAATTAATGGCTGCCACTGATGACTGCAATTGAAAGGTACCTGCTGTGCTACCATCCTACCACTCTACTCACAATAACTGAAAGCAGCACAGTTAATTGAATGGCGTGTCTACACAGAAAGCATTAATGGAGCAGGTCTCTTCTATTACCAGCAATTTACTTCTGGGGAGACTCAGAAATGAAATAAACTTATAATGCAGCATTTTCCTCAAGGTGAATATAATGGCATTCATGGCCTTTGACGGTCATTCTCAACACACCGTTCAACTTATAAGTATTAATAAGGACTGGAAGTTACTTAATATGGACTCAAAAACATCAGAGGTTGAACAAACTGGCACTGAGGTGAAATCAGTGGCCAAAGGATGCCTGATAATCAATGTAGATTTCTCCTGTTTCCATGTCACAGGGAAGATTCATGTATAATATTAACTCATTAGTCTGCTTACGGTTTTCTGAGAATCATCCTCATATGAGCATCTGGCCCAATCTGAGACAGAAGCAGCATAGTGTCCTGTAGCTCCTCATCACACTCCTTCTTCTCTTCCTCAGTTGGCAAAGGGGCGTCTTCACGCTCATCATCCAAAAATCGATAAAATAAGTATTTGTCTTGAAAGTTGTGTTCCTGATCCACTGAAAACAAAACATATCAAACACTAAGTTCTCCTTATTGAAGTTAACCTTGCAGAAAACTGTGTAGGATCGCATGTGTCACAGATATATTAGTTAAGAAGGGAAGAAAAGCTACAGCGAAACTGAAAGAGTATGAAACAACTTTATTTCTCACATATGTCCAAATTATGTAGCTTGGAGAGTACACTTAAATGATGTACACAAACACTTTCCAAAACGCTTCTTTGTATGTGTGTTATGGGTGTGTACACATGTATGTGTGTGTGCGCACGTGTGTTTTTTCTTACTAGATCTGATTTTGTTCTTATTGTTCCAAAGCAATTCATTTAAGCGAACAACTCACACTGAGGAAACAGTTGCATCACGAATTTCTAAGAGGTGTTCTCTAGCATGAACGCCTTGCCATAAATGTTTCAGATGGGGCTAAAAGATAACGAAAGCATCTGATCTCTTTCTTATGTACCAGAAACATACATCATCAAGATATAATTCCAGGGGGAAGTTCATTGACCTGTGTCCTGGTAAAAGAACTTAATGGAAAGACTACTAAGAAAAGTATTCTAGAAAGAGGCTATGGCAAAGGACAAACCCTTGGTCTTCCAAGCAAGTCAGTGATGTGTTGAGTTGGATACTGTGATGCAGCTTGCAACAGTTTACCCCTGGGCAAGGGAATATTTGGCAGGAACTAAAGCTAGAGCCCTCGGGGTAAGGAAGTGGTGGAAAGCTACCCTTTTGAGGCCTATAATACCTGTTACGAAATGAGTCCTTCCACATGGAAACTGAAGGTAGATATAAAATACAGTCAGAAAACTTAACATAAAATCCTTGATCTCTGCACTGGAATATTTGAAGTGCTGAATTTGGGAACCACTCTAAAACCACTGACAAACATTCCAAAATTATGGATCTGAGCAAATACAAATGCTGCAAATCTTTGATCATCAGTTTTCCGCATGGTAATATATCTCTTGGTTTTGGCATGGGTCCTATACAACTCTTGCATTACGAACACAAGGCAGTGTACTCCTAAGTACAATTAGACTAAGCATTATAAATTGCTCATTTACTTTTCAATATTCTCATAAGCTAAAACACTATATTGGTAGTAAGACTCATGTAATACTGTCTGTGTGTTGCACCTGCACTTATGAATGAACAGGTTGCTCTGCAGCATTTTTTTGGGGCTCATGATCCCTTTCTTTTTCATAAAAGAGATCTACAGAGGCACTGATGTCGCACATTGGCCATGTTTTAGTCAAGACGCTGATTTTCTTTATCTTACCATGGTTAAGAACACCTTCTTCCAGCAATACTTGCCACATGCCAACAGCCTGGGTTCGTGAATGGACACAAGGACTTTGCTGCATCATCCAGTCAACTAGTTCTGTGCCCACACAGCACTGCCTGAAGAACAAACAGATAGAAATGAAAAGGGAGCCTGCCAAGAGAGGGATCACACACACACTGTCTGCCAAGAACAGTGATATCTTAAACTCTGTATAACCATAGTCAAATCTCCCTACAGAAAACACAATGTCACCATCTAAGCATTATGCTTGAAATGCCAGTGAAGGTGTTCAGTTTTGAGAGGATCACCTCAACAGAACAAGTGAGCTGGGAAATGCAAAGTTCAGAGGATCGGAGTGACCCTGTGCCACCTAGTACAGAGCCTGTTGCACCAGCGCAACAACCTCCAACCTCCAAGATTTTAAAGGAAACCTTCTCTTGTCTAGCATGGGATAGGAAATTCTGCATGAAAACAATCACATAACACTGTAAAAGAGAACAGCCTCCACAGGAAGAGCGAGCGTTATGAGGGTTTTCCTCCATTTGTAACCAAACCCTGGCCACACTGTATTTGGGGACATTGGTTTGTCCGTCTAGTGTTTCTGAGGCTCTCTCATGCTAGGTGCTGGTCACCTTGCAGTTCCTGCCTGACCCAGACGCAGACAACAGCAAGCCTTAAGCTCTGGAGAATCCTCAGAGGGGGGAAAAATGAAAAAGCCACGTGGTGACTAAGTAAAATTCTTTGTCATAGCACTGCCTAACTCAGCAGAACAGAAGCAAATAAGCAATGAGATCAAAAGCGTACAACTCCCTGACGGATCGCACGCAGAACAGAGGAAGCTGGCTAGTCCTTCTGGACAGGTTCTCGTGGCTCTACACTTCTTGCACCACTTTCAGAGACCAAGGAAATAGATAATATTGAAATTGCTGAAATTCAGCTAAAATAATGCTCTTCCAATTAAAATCCCATCTTGATGATAAAACTTTCCCTCACCTGGCTCCAATCTAAATTTTGGCATATTTAAAAACCACAAGGACAGGACAATAAGAGTTTTTCCTGGTTATGTGTAAGATAAAATGGTGCAGCTGTTTGGACCAGCACTGATCTTCATAAATCATACATGGTCTTTTGTTCTTCTAGAACAGTGACTAATGTCATATTGTGATATATTCTGAGATCAACCCACAAGCTCCAAATACCTTGCATCGCACTAAATACATTTTGGACTGAAATATGGAAAATCAATGCACTTATCTCAAAAGCAGATCAGCAACATATTGACTTACTATTTAGAAAAAGACATACTCAGAGATTTTAAACCAATTTTTATTTAAATATATTCTGAATAATGCATTAAGTATTTGATTTAAACATTAGACACTAAAACAAATTGATTGTTTTTTAAGGTAACATCAGATAGATTCTGACTCCTTCAAGTCAGTTTCCTATTCTACAAGAGCCATTGTTATCTCACTTCAGCGAGGCAGTGCTGCCACCATCAGGAAGATAAGAAAGCCTGGCAACACACTGAAAAAAATAATTTTAAATAGAGCAGAAAATCTACATAACGAATGCTTCTGACCAGGTGTATTTTCAGAATTCCACACTTAGCAATACTGCTGTAACAATCAGAACAGTAACATAATATATTAACAAGCTTTCCTATTATCTTTTACTCATATATGAAGAGAACAGAATCTACATTTAAACCTGATACTGCACAGAATATTCCAGCTAACTATGCTATTAATGTTGGAAGAGTTTTTGTACGTGAATGCTCTTTTCACAATCATGGACTCAATTTCCAGTCAAATTACTTCAGAAAAGATTTACCAGGCCCATTAAAGACTGCATAACATCCAGACTCAAACAGCATCACAGAATAATTTCAGACCTTTTGAGACCTGCAGGTATGGTAAGGCATAAATCACATATCATAGGATGGCAGGCATAAAAATTCAGAGACGTCTATACAATCAGCTCACACACCTGTAAGTCTTCAGATGGTATTTACGATCTCTTATCATGTGAGGGGCTCGGGACAGAATTGTATTCCGCAAAATCTTTCCAGCTCTGAGGATCTTTTCTGAAGGAACCTTGGTGATCATGAAGAAAAAAAAGGGACCAAGACACACAGATTTTAAACTTTCCACAATCTCTGTACTGCCTTCTGCAAAACAAAACACAAGTTGTCTTTTCCCTAACTTAAAAGTCCTTGCACAGATGCTTACTTTTGCAGAGCAATGTAGTATATATTCGGGATTTTAAGTCTCACATACTTAACACATCTAACAGAAAGCACCACTTAAGATGATACACATTACAGTGTTGGAAACAGGAGTTATTTCCATTTGTCTACTGGCCTGGCTCTAAAGACACCTATGTCCTATTACCTGTGTAATGCTTTTAGTAGGACGATGTGGGATGTGAGGTTCAATATGAGGTGTCTGAAAAATAAAATTAAATGAAATAAATTTTTAAAGGTTTATAAAGGTAAAATAAAATAAAGGCTAAAATAAAAAAACTGAACAAAGAAGCCATAAAACCGAAGAATGATGTGTAAGTCCAAGCTGTGCCCAGGGGACATGAGTAGAAAAAGCTCTCTGAAGACATGCTAAGGACAAACTTAGCTGGTGATGCCCAGCAAATTAAAATGGTGACAAGACACAGGAATAAGAATTAACAAATGCACATTAACCTTTCTAAAGCACTACTGAAGTGTGCAACGGCCAAACGTCCCACCAGATCTGCATAGCTAGCCCTTCCGCTTGCTGCTCCCGACCCGCAGTGGGCACAACAGCATTCCTCTGCACGCGGCTGACTCCGCCATTCCGCCCCCACCATGGATCATCTCTCCTCCTCCAGCACTTTTTCTATACAGCTCTCTTTGAAACAGGAATGAAGAAAAAGCTCTGCTCCCACTATCTGTCTTTTCTAAACTATCATCGGGCCTAGCTGGCAACGCTTTTATAGCCGCTCTCTGAAATGCAAGAGCATGCAGGCTGCTCACAGAGACCTGGGTAAGGCCTTTCACAAAGGGGCTGGTGAAGGAAAAAGAAAACAGTGAAGCAGGTGACTTGGTTCTGCAAAGGGGCGAGTGAAAGGGAAGGCTATCAGGGCCCTGCAAGAGAGAAGCAGAGAAGGGGATGAGAGAAATGGGCAATCAGGCACAGAATGAACAGGTGAAAGGAGAGGGGAGACAGGAAGCACACAGCACAAGCAGAGGACAAAGGAAAGCAGAGGGTTAAAGGGAAGTAGAAATGGAGACAAAGAACAAAACTGAACTTCAGCAGCCACCCCAGAATGATGGGAAAAAAAGTTTTGCTCTGTCAGGACTGGTAGTTACCCACACAGACCCAATTCACTTCCAGTGTGAAACGTCAGGAGGCAGGACACAAGGGCTGAATTTGGCTGGCGTGGAGGGCTTGCACACAGGGCAGATCATACCTAACACAGAGGTTTCCCACAAGGGCAAGACCTGGCCCCTCCGCCCATGGCGGCCATGGCTCCCTTGCACCCCTACATCAAAGGCCGGACAGCCTGGTGGCAGCTACGATGAAACGCATGCCGTGTGCTGCTGGGTTGCCGTGCATCAGTTTGCTTAAGCTGGGCATCTGTTCGTTAGCTCCCACAGGATTTTAATGATGTGACAAAGTCCTTGTAGTAATCAAACAGTGCTAGGAGCTACGAACGCACTGGAAGACTATAGGTCAGCCGGGAAGGGGAAAATGAGGGAAGCACACGACAGAAATCAATAATGATAAGATAATCTTAACAGAGAGGCCTGTATATGGAAAACAATGCAAACGGTTTTTCATTTCTACTCATACATTACAAGAAGTCTCTGAAAAGGTAAATCAATACAATTAAATTGGGATTCCTGATTTTTCTCATTAATAAGTCAACAATTGTTCAAAGACTCATTTACATTATAAACATTTCTGTCCCACCAGAAGAGCGGTAGGGCATCCCTCAATACTTCTTGGTGCCTGGAACTGTGTAGAGTGTGCTTCAGACAGTCTACCTTTGCAGTTAAAGCATGCTAAGAATAGCAAGAATCTTTTGAAAGACACTTCTAATGGAAACAAAAGCATTGAATAACAGTTTCAAGCAGGTATATAAATAAATAATGAAGTCAGAGATAGCTATCTGAGTATTAATAATTTTTGCTTCCATTTTCTTTTAAAAGAATTTCAAGTCCTCACCAAGTTCAATGAGACTGAAGGTAAATATATACTTAAATGGTAGGCTAAATTGGAATTGAAGTCATTATGAAAATTATTTCTAAATTCCACATTCTTAAAATTTTTTCAATCAATAAAGCACAATAAACTCAATCTAGCTTCCAGATTTTAATTCTAATTAGGAATATACTTCAAAGAAGAGACTAAATGTGTAAGACAAAAAATATAAGAGACTTTTACAGCAACAGACTAGTAAAAATGAATGCATATTTTTGTTCTTTGTAGTTTCCATTAAGCTACAACAAAAGTGCATAAAATTAATAAGTTAAAAATGGAATATGGATGAAAATTTATCAATAAATCTCCCATTCTAATCAGAACAGAATAAAAGTGAGCATTTAGAAGATATGTGATCCAACCCCAAAATATAGAAAAACCCAATGTGAAAGCTAAGGCACTGCACAAGAATCTGCAGAAAGCAGCAGGAAGGCTTATTCACCTACATTTGATCATGACCAATACAGAAGAATCAGCTGGGGAGACAGGAGTTAGCTTGGGTGAAGGTGATCATGAAACAATCCAGTGTCAGAACTTTACAGAAGGAAGTAAGAAGAACATCAAAGTAGAAACAATGGACTAGGAAGAAAAATTTCCATAAAAACAGAATACTGATAGCTGAATTCCCAAAGCAGGTCATGGGGGAGCAAATGTAAGGTAAAAGGAGGCAAAGAGAGCTTGTAGTTACTTAGAGAAACAATACTAACCACACACACAATATATCCTAGCACAGAGCTTGAAGGGGTAGTAAAGACTCAGCTCAGCTGAATAAAGCTCTTTACTGAAATATAAGAAGGAGAAAGTAGGAGGTTTACAAAAGGCAAGTATAAAAAGTAAATTGAATAACGAGAGCCATAACTAGAAAAGGTATAAAATGAGACAGATCACCAAGAAATGTCAAGAGCTACCAAAAATATTCCACAAGTACGTTAGCAGTAAAACAAAGGAAAGAAAAACTATTGATCTGCCATTCAACAGAGGGAAATCTATTGACAGATAATTCAAGAAGGCCAGAAGCAGTTCATTTATTTTTTCTATCAGTGGCCATTAGAAAAATCAGTCGCAGAGAGATGGCTAATATCCTAAGTAGTAAAGTGAAAAGAGTAAAATCCCAGCCTGAAAAAAAAAAACCAAACCCACAAAAGAATGGATGAGGAGATATTACGTCAATTAGCTGTTTTAAGATTGGCTGGGTTTATAGAATTTCACGCAGGAAACTCAAAGAGCTTGAAGAAACTTTAAGAAGGCTGCAGCCATCTCAGCACTGTCAACAGCCATCTCTGGCAACTCCTGGGACTAAGGCAGGCAGCAGAAGACAGAAAAATGGGAAAAGGAGGAGCTGAAAAATTATAGACATGTCAGCTTAACTTGTCTTCCCAGAAAAAGTCCATTTGTAAGCACCTGGAAAAGAACAGGGAGATGAGTCACACGAGACGTGTATTGATCAAGAACAGATAACACTGAACTGATCTAATTTCTCTCCATGACCGGGCAGCAACACTGATGGTTTAGGGAAGAAACAGTAGATTTTCAACCCTTTAGTTTTGGCACTGTCTCATAAGATATTCCCTTCTGCAAAGGGCAGATAAAATTCTTACAAAGTAGGTGCAAAGACAGTTGGAAAAGTATATTTTGAAAGCAATTAACAGTGAGGCAAAGTCATACCAGAGGTCCGTTCTGAGCAGCGTTCTCAATATATCACATCTGATAATATTAAATATTAACAAGGGATGAAGTAATACGTACACTGATTGATTTTGCAAGAGACTTCAGGATGGGAGGAACTATGTACACGTTGGAGAATAAGTTTACAATTTCATAAAGGTTTGACACTGGTCTGAAAAAATTCTGAAGTTGTTATGCAACAGAGAGAGTGCCGACTACCTTTCTGAAGCAGGCAGAATCAGCTGTGTAAAGACAGGGTAGGCAACACCTGTCTTAGCACAGTCCCACACAAAAAGAAAAAAGCTTTATAATAGACATTAAACAGAACTGAGTAAGCAATGCCACACTTGTGTGAAAGCAACAAATAGTGTGCTAGTATGTAGTAACAGATTAGATACATAACACAGTTCTGCTTTAGTCAGCCTAGGTAAGACCGAAGCTAAAGCACTGTGTCTCATTTGCCCACCTCACTTCAAAAGCACCTAAACCAACCAGACAGAATTTAGAGGAGAGCAACAGGAATAATCAGAAAGCGCAACATAAATAATCAAAGTTTTTCAGCTAAGGAAAAGGCAAGTCTTAGCAGAAGTGTGATAAAAAAAGTCTTCAGATTTAAAAGGCCTTTGAAAAGAAGAAAGAAGTGACCTAGTCCATCGTGCAGAGATCAGGAAATAAAGGGTTTAAATTGCTGTAAGAAAGATTCAGGTTAGACATCAGTGAAGCTTTCCTAACAATGTGGACAGTGAATACTGGCACAGATTGCCAGGGAGGTGTGGTTCCTCCATTTTTGGAGGCTTAGGAGGGTATATGTAAGGTTCTGTCAGGAGTGACACAGCTATAGTGAACTGTGCGTGTGGCTCAGGGATAGACCAGATGCTTTCCTGAAGTACCTTTTAGCCTCACTCTGTGGCACCGGGCAATTTTCAAGGACACCTTTACATGTCTAAAATGAGTTCTGCCACAACGTGACTGAAGTACATACATGGTGCGTGGAGGTGTATGACTGCAGCTACTTGACAATCACATTTTTCATGACTTCTGAATAAGGGAAAAGTTATCAGATGAAGAGCTCAAATATGCAAGCCAATTAGGATACTTTATAAATTATTGCCTGTCTCCTGGCCACAGTAGCATCAAGTGTACCTGCTCTAGCTTTCCTTCAGCATGAGATAAAGCAACACAGCAGTACCATCTTGAGCTTTAGCTACCTCGTCCCCATATCCAGCTAGTGCATACACAAACAGTTTGCTATGATCTGCTGATCCCTCAATGTAGGGGGAGAAGGTGCCTATGGGTCTGGAGGGTAGAGAAGGAAAAGCTGCAGGCATTGGTAGGGACAAGCAGAAGATGATCATGAGAAACTGTGATAAAATGCTTTTAAGCATTAACCTTGACAAACTCCGTATCTGTACATATATGGATTCACATTTGGGTCATTCAAACAAACTCTTCATGAAGCCAATCACAAAACTCCCTATTTAAAGCAGAGAAAGAAACAATTTTAGCCTCCATTCCTTTGAAGATTCAAATATTTATGCATG